ATTTTTCCTGGGGGGAAAATATTTTCTAAAATCTCAATAGCTAGTTTCATTGCCTCTATGCTTATAAAACATGTTCATGAATACAATATTAAAATCAATTTTATTTCCCCACCAAGTGCTTTGAATTTTATACTTTTAAAGTGTTACATGTTCTACATGTGCCTATATACACACATCCATAATGTACATGAGTGTACATACAAAGAAAACACTGAGCATGTCAATGTCATCCTTCAGAAATGTCTTGATGGGGAAAAAACATGAGAACCACCTAGCTACAGTGTGCCCACCAGCAAGTTCACCAAAGTACTCTAACCACAAAAGACACAAACACAGGGCGGTACTCGCCAATACTAGGTGAGAGGTCTCTAGAAGACAGACAACTAGCTATAGGCATTCTTATAAGAAGGAAAAGCTCACAGACTAGCTCCCTGAATTCATCAAGATATTAATGGCCTTTTGATTACCTGTCTCTGGTTAACTGACTTAAGAAGTAAAGAGAAAATCCAAAGGTGTCCAGGTATAAGGCGATGAGCTCCCCTGGAAGGCCTGAGATCAAATACATGCTGCAGAAGCCCAGGCGGCGAGGTTCCGTCTTAGCCTTGAGGAGAAACCTGAGGACAGGAATATTTCTGTACTTTGAGGGCAAAGCTACTGACTGACACACAGCCTCGGTCAGCAAGAGCAGAGCATCCATATTTTTAAGAATTCAGCATACCAAAAAATATCAGTCCTAGAGAAGGTGATCAGGTAGAAATTACCATTGTCGTTTATAAAAATACACTCCTGTAGTTTGGCATTTTTTTTGGTGGATGGATGCAGGTAAAGGATAGAAACAAAACAAACAAAACCCCTATACCTTCCAGTAAAAGAAGAGAAAATGGCAGAAGACTCATCCATTAGAAAGAACTTGTTGTCAATGAGCAAAAAGCTGAAATTCTAGTTTAGCCAAAACCCATAAGCGCTGTATAAAAGTAGATGAGCAATAATGTGCTGAATACTGAGGAACCTGCCGTGCTGAAACAAGCAAGCAGACATGTGAACGAAACTTATTTATTGCTTACTTCAAATAACCTAAAATCGCCCTGGCCGGTTTGGCTCAGCGGTTGGAGAGTCGGCCTGCGGTCCAGAGAGACCTGGGTTCAGTTCCCGCTAAGGGCACATACCTCTGTTGCAGTTTGTCCCCGGCCCTGGTTGGTCATGCAGGCGGCAGCCACTTGATATGTCCCTTTCACATTGATGTTCCTCTCTCTCTCTCTCTTCCTCTCTCTCCCTCCCACTCTATCTGAACAAAAAATGAAAAAAAATGTCCTCAGGTGAGGATTAAAAAAAAACAAAAAAACTAAAATCATCTGACTAAAAGGACTCTCAGAAGGTTACTTAACCCCAGTTTCCATATCCAAGCAAGACAGGAACTGAGTTACTCCATGCAGACAATGTCCACCCATTCTTAGAGACCTATCAGCAAGGCAGGACTTGATCCTGCTGGAGCAAACCCAACCCAAAGCCTCCGTGTGAGCCTGAGCATGTGTCCACACAGGTGACGAGAAAACTGAGGTCTACAGGAAATTTACAGAAGGGTTTGAACAGGTTTGGCAGTACTCCGGGGGCTGCCAAAACTCTTTGCCCTAGGAGGAAAAGCTCAGTGAAAAAGAACAAAGAATAAAATGTAATCAGCCATTTTAACTTTGGCAAACAGTTTTGTCATTAACAATTAGAATTTCAACTGGGAGTTTACAGAATTTATCAAGACTGGTCTGTTCACCCATCTCTAGCCGTGAGAACATTACAACATTATGGAGCAACTATCCCACTAAAATGGTCAGGGTTGCTGGGCTGATTTTTTGTGAGGAGGGGGTTTGAAGGGGCAAGAGAAGGTAATATGCAGTGTTACTACTTGAGTATAATCAAGACAAGGGGATGGATATAAACACAAATATGTCATTTAGAAATTACAAGACCATACTTCTCAGCACAAAATCACAAGTCTGTTTTTATGGTTCAGAGAGGACAGAAATGAACACCAGGCCCTCCTTCCCCAGCAAATAAAGACACAATAATGCAGAAGCCCAAGTACATCCACCTTCTGTCAGGGTCACGTGCACTGACACTATTCAATGGAGCCTCTTCTGTTGTAACCCACTTTTTTAATAAGGGGGAAAATTATTCCAAAGTGATCATCTAGTTCTGGGAACAAAGAATAAGAGTATTTGCCTTTAGCATCCCACGCTTAGCACTTTTACTGTAGAGAACAGGCAGCGCCCATTAAGGAATTTTGCACTCAGCTAAAAACAAAAACAAAAATAGCATAGCAGGGTGTTCCCGCAGCACTAAAATATCTCATTCCTCAAGACCTGGCTTTCAGCTCCACAAAACCCACCCTAAGTACCCCTTACTCCACACCCTACTTCCTCTGCAACTCTTCCTTCTCTGAATAATGAGGGCTCTCTCAGACTCCAAGCCAGGCAATTCTGCACCAAATTATACACAATTTTGTACTGTTTGCTAAAATTATATACACCCTTGTGCTGTTTGCTAATTGTTTCATGTATACAAATGCCCCCCCGCCAAATAAAATATATAAATTACTTGGGAAGAAGACTTAGTTTTATTCTTCAATTGTCTGTTCCTCCTGAGCCTCCAAGAAATAGCTAACACACATGGCCAGAGAAACCCTGTGGAAGTGTGACTCAGGCTGAGTGCTGTCAGGCTTTCTGTGGCTGGGGGCTACCACCCATCACTTCCCAGCACCCTGTGACTCTCCCAGGCCTGCTGCCAGTTCACAGCAGCTTGTCCTAGACCCACAACCTGCCACGAGAGCCCTTGCTAGCCCCTTGGCGGGCTCCTCTGCCTGGCACCCTCCCACGGCCACTCCCAAGAGGCAGAAGTAGCTCGCACAAGACCATACAACTCGGCTGGTGCCCTCATTTAATCAGGCTGCTGCAAATGGTTGGCCAAAAGCAATAAGACCATGACTGAGAGACTGTGGGAGTTTAATATAAAAAAATTAATAAAAAAAGAGGGGTCTACCTTTTAATAGGGCCCTAATTACCCAACTCATAGGATCAGCCCAAATGAGATGGGAGTTTATTTCGGGTTTTTTTTTTAATTATTGTTTTTTTTTATATATATATAAATTGCTGCTATGTGTTTTCTTTCCTCTGAGCAATTATGCAGCAAGTACGTAAAGAGGAGAAAAAATATTAATTAAATATAAGGTAATTGTAGAGTTGGCCTGGAGAGAATGAGTCTGAACTCTGGACAATCGCAGGCTACCAGGGTTTGAAGACTGCTCAGGGCCTCCCAGAAAAGAAAGAAATAAAAATACAGCCGACCAACAAGCAGCTGCACAGTACAGCAGGAAAAGGGCAGTGCACAGAAGCGTTAGCACAGCAAAGGCGCTGCAGGGCTCCGAATGCCCAGAAATCAGCGAGGCTGCCAGCTGCTTAGGGCTCACTGCTAGCAAGAACCTCCCAGAGTTTGTCCAATCATGCCCCCCAAAATGGACCAGCCACTCTCCTGGTGCTCAATAGTTAAATCAGGAGATCAAAATGTAAAAAGAGACTGAGGAAGTCAAGGACTGAAGAAGACTGTCATGTTCAACTTGGATGTTAGTCCAAAACCAACCACAACTTCAGCCCAAGGGGCACTGTGGCAGTCCCATGAGAAATATTTGAGCTTCCTATCTAAGAGACTGACAAAGCAAAGTCTCCTCGGGCTTCACACCATTGTGGCCTCAAGGAAGAACTCAGACAATACCAAAAGGGTGAAATGAAGCCACTGCGGGGAGGGGGAGTTGGGGGGGGGGAGTGGGGAACGGGTCGTGCCTGACAACAACAGTAACATGATGACAGTAGCACACTCCTGAAACAGTCCAGGCAGGCCTGCCATTACCCTGGTCTTTCTGCAGCTCAGCCAAATCCAAATCCCCTCTGCCCTGAAAAGCCTCCAAACAGGCTAGAATTCAGACCTGCTCACACCAGCTAAGGACCTCACGTCACCTCCTCCCACTACTGCCAGGAGAAGGAAGAAAAATAGGTGAAACTACGCCCACCCCCATGGAAACAAAAGCTTGGCGGTACATCCCTAAGCTTGCTGTCAATATTCAAAGAGAGAAAAGGCTCTGATAAGTTCAACCTAAAGCTGGTTCCAACATAAAATGTGTCTGATTTGTACAGAACAGGTCTCTCTACCCAGCCAAAAGGACTGACAACAGGCCCTGAAATGCAAAATAGGATAAAAATGGGGTAGGCAGGCAGGCACTCTGGCTCCGACCCCCAGAGCAAAATTTGCACTTTGTCAAGAAAATTACCTTCAGTACTTAGCAGGCTTCTTCCCTGTCAATAGTATAAGCAGGTACTGTTGGAAACAAATGTCACAAACCTAACTACTGACCAGGCAAAACGAAGCTCCCTCCCTTTACCTGTTCTTCAAGGTTACCTGAGGTGCTCTCACCCTTGTTATTCCAGACAACAAGCAGCAACTTGGTTAGGCCCAGGAACCTCACTCCAACTCAGCCCCCAAAGGTTTCAGGCACCCCACTAATTACTATTGATCAGCAATAAACCAAGTGGTATAACACGAACTGGGGTAGATGCTTTTAATTCCAGAAAAGACCAGGCTTTGCCTTGGCTGGATAGCTTAGTTGATTAGAGCGTCATCCGGTAATGCCAAGGTTGTGGGTTCACTCTCCTGTCAGAGCACATACAAGAATCAACCAATGAATACATTAATAAGTGAAACAACAAGTCGATGTTTCTGCTTCTCTCTCTCTCTCTCGTCAATAAATTAAAAAATTTTAGAAGACCAGGTTTTACAGAGATCTCACTAATCCCTGATGCCAGAAAGTCAGAAGTCAAAGGTCATGACAGGGTAAGTCTCCACACACCTACTTTTAAAGGGACACTATTGATGTAAAACTGTAAGATCCTAGGGTTTCTTGGCACTCACACTGTATTTTAACTATCTGAAAATGGCACATATGTAAGCTGGGTTCTTACCAGTGGCTCTCGGGGCATCACATTTTCACTTCCTGGAGTAGAGCTGGGCTGTGAAGAAAAACAGAAACAAAAATAAGATCACAGTGCCACCCAATGGACATCAAACTCTCAAGCAACACACACAAACCTCTGTCATATTTCTCTCTGTGTTTTCACACTTGCATAGTGTGCTGGGTGGGCTACCTGTAAGAAGTAGCCCGAAGAGTCTAAAGTGCCAGTAAACATGAAGAGACTGTTTGGGTTCACTGTCAGCACCTCAACAAGGCTGGTTTGGCTTAGGAGGGCCCAAGACCAGCAGCTGAGCAGCAGAGGCTAAGGACCATCACAAAATCCATGGAAGTAGCAAAGTCCAGAGAAAAGGCTTTAAGTGAGAGCAAAACCTCCTTTTTTGCCATCTCCCAACATGTTGCCCAGGAAAGGCAGAGCAAAAGTGGAGAACCAGATCCAGCCACAAGGGGGCCCTAGTTGCCCACACTCAGGATTTCCTCTGGGCCTCTGTCAAAAGAAAGCCAGGCTTAAATCCTTTTTTCAAAATAAGCTAATGACAGGCTAACAGATATACACCGGCAGGCAGCACTGTGGCCCACTCACCGGGCTCTCACCTATTCTGTTTCGTTCTCCTCTGCATCTCCCCCTCACCTTCTCATCTGCCTTCAACCCCTGGCTGATCTTAGCAAATTTAGAGAAAGGGAGAGAGAGTAAGACAGACAAGTGCAGCTAATATGTGGGTCTTAGGAGTCAGACTCCAACCTCCACAGTCCTTCAGCAAGTTCAAGATGGCAAGTTACAGGCCTCCTAGGGAAAAAAAATAGGAGGCAGGAAAGGGAAGAGTGTAGTCCACAGAGGGTCCCCAAGATTTCCTTATGCCAGTTGCCACCCCATAGCTAGCACATAGCACAGTGGCAAGGACTCTGCTGGAAAATGGACTCTATCTCCTCATCCAAAGTCCTGTCTTAAAAGCTCCTTCTTGTGCTGGGCCAAGAAGGCCAGCCAGCATGAAACTAACTAGCAAGTCTCAGAGCACTTGAGTATGCTTTTCCTCCCTCCCCCTGCATTTCCATCTCTAGCCCAGACCCCTCTGAGTCCTACATTCAACTGCCTTTCTTCCTCCTCTTGGACTTAAATCCATAGCAGAGTCATAATCCCTTCCCTCGGCCACACATGTCCTTTTCCAGTGTTCCCTATCTGCATGAATGGAACAACCTTCCACCAAAATACGTGAAGCAGAATCCACAAGGCCATCCTTGACAGCTCCTTCTCCACCACTCGCCAGAACTAACACATCATCAAGTCCTGCCAATATTCCTTCCTAAATATCCATGGACTCAGTCCATTCGCTTCTCTCCATAACCAGTGCCAGCACCATGGTCCAAGCTTCCAAAATCTCCTGCCTGGACCACTGCAACAGCCTTAAAATCTGTTCACCCACATCCATGCTGCTCTCTTCCGATTCACTCTCCACACTGCAAACAGACTATCATTTGGAAATGATAAGCCAATCGTCTCACCTCCCATCAACCCACTCACCCCTGTAAATAACAACTCTAATATAGAGAAAACTTCTCAGCATGTTCTGCAAGGCTTTGCATCTATTCTGACTACATCTCAGGTCTGTGCGGCACCACATTCCCCCAGCTCTGCCCACAACAGATACACTGGCCTTTGCTTCCTCTGTCAACTGGGCCTTGGCACAAGCTATTCCTGCCTTCCCCTCTGACGATTGAACTTGTCCTTCAGATCTCAGCTAAGTCACTTCCTCCGGGAAACATTCCCTCTCTGACACCCATGACAGGCTCAGATCTCCCTATTATACACTAACAGCCTATACTTCCCCTTTAAGAACTAAGCAGAACTGCAGTTTCACACGTGTGACTATCAAGATTGATGTCTGTGTCCCTCATCAGATTATAAACTCCAGAACTGTTCGTTTTTCACTGTATCCCTACGGCCTAGGACAGTGTCAGGCACACTCGGCCTTCCACAGACATTTGTAGAATGAGTGATGGGCAACGAAAAGGAGAGCCATGGTTCTAACTCAACTGAATTGACTAAATATTAAAGTTGATTACCTTCCTAGGGGCTTCCTTCCATTTGGTAAATACTAAGTGCTAACATTAAGCTCTTCCTTCATTTAATTCTCACAATAAATTTATAAACGTATTGCTGATGAGGAAACTGAGGTAAGAGAGGTTAAAAAGCTCACCCATGATGACTCAGCTAGTAACTGGTACTAAAGGGACTTGAACCTTTCTAATTCATCAAAATAATCGAGTTCTGTTTAGACCACACTTTATTAAGCAACAACTTTAATGCTGCCCCATAAATAATGTAGGGTTTTTTACTAAATGAAACAATGTAATGCAAACAGCTTTAGTATTTAGGAAGCCTCATTCTGACTTAACCCAAAACTCTCTTCCTGAGAGACTGTCAAGGAATTTCCCTTAAATTAGTTTATCTCTTGAATAGCTAATATTTGCCACAAGGATAACTTTAAACAGTATACAGTACCAAGACTCTTTTGAAATTGTGAGCCGTGTAAGTATATTCTGCTTTTTCAAATTTTTTAATATTAAAAAAAAAATTTTAAGGAAGCTTTCCTCTCATCCCAATACTCAGTCCCTTCTTCCTCAGGCAACCTGCTATTGATGCTACTTCCTTATATATTCTTCCAAGGATATTCAAAGCATCTAAGAAGGACATATATGTGTACATGTCCCCACCAAGAAACTTCAAACAGCAACACCCCACAAATTCCTCAAGGTCTGGCTTCCCCAAGCCTTCTGGGGTCCAGCATACCAAAGCCAGACCTCAATCTCAGGGCTACTAAAAGAGGAGCAAGTATTTCCCCGAACCGTATTCCAACTCATAGTGCTCTCTGAGGTCAGTCGGATCTTAGCAGTGAATACACAGAGGATTTCTTGCCAATCTGGAAATTGCCCAATATTGAGTATATTCTAGATAATTCTCTAACATATCTGCAGTCTAGAATGACCCATCCCCCATTTCCTGTCTCACTTTAGAAAAGTGTTTCTTAATGACCAAAATAGCCTTCATACTTACTCCTTTCCATATTGATTTCCTTGATAATACCATCTGAAATTCTTCACTGGATAACTCGTTTATTATCTCTCTCTCCCCACTCCATTTTAAGCTCCTTGAGGCCAGGCACGTGACTTGACTGAAGGCTGATCTTCAGCACTTAGAATATCATTGGTACTGAATAAACATGTGCTTAATTTTTTTTTAATCTAAAAAAATTAAAACAAAGGAACTACTCTGTATACATACATAATCCCAAATGAAGCAAGCAGAGGAGAGGGCAGTGCCGTCTTCCCCGGGAACATTTCACCTAGAACCTAATACAAACCTGGCCTATTCTCAATGCACTGTTGTGATCTGATGGTTCTCAACCCTGGGGCAGAATCACCCCCGAGGGACATTTGAAAATGTGTGCGGCCCTGGCCGGTTTGGCTCAGCAACGTGGCAGGTTCGACTCCTGTCATGGGCACATGTCTCCTTCAATTGGAATTCGTCCCCTGCCCTAGTCAAGGTCATGTGGGAGGCAACCAGTCTATGTATATCTCTCACATTGATGCTTCTCTCTCTCTCTCTCTCTCTCTCTCCCTACCACTCTATCTAAAGATAAACAGAAAAATATCCTTGGGTGAAGATTAAATAATAATAATAATAATAAAAAGAAAATGTGTGCAAGTGTTTCTGGTTGTCACAATGATCAGAGTGTTCCCCATTTAGAGGGCAGGAGCCTGGAAAGCTAAATATCCTGCAAAGCACGGAAAGAATACTCCATCCAAACCACCAAGAGGCCCCCTTAGAGAATCCCAGCCATTCTGCTTCCTTATGCTGGGGAGGAGAACAGACCCCCATCTTTAACATGCAGTTCTACGTGCTGTTTCAAATAACGCAAACGTCCGAGCAACCGCTGCTTGTCAGAGTTGCATCCCCAAGCTCATTAATCTTGCCAGTCCAGCTTTTACGAAAGCCCAACATTTCTCAAACACTCGCCCCTACATCAACCCCCTTTACATAGTCAAATCTATTTTCTGGCTTCAGACAAATCTCTACAAGTTAAATTCCAACTGGATCCTAGAAGTCTTGACAGGATGGTCTATGATTTTAAAAACGGTAATAGTAATAGTAAGGTTTAAAAATCACAGTTAAGCCCTAGCAAGTTTGGCTCAGCGGTTAAGAGTGTCGGCCCGCGGACCAATGAGTCCCGGGTTCAATTCTGGTCAAGGGCACGTACCTCGGTTGCGGTTCGTCCCCAGCCCTGGTCAGGGTCTCTCTGACACTGATGTCTCTCTCTCTCTCTCTCTCTCTCTCTCTCTCTACCCCTTTCCTCCCTCCCTCCCCCCTTCCCCCTTCCCCTCTCTTTCCTTCCTCCCACTCTATCTGATGACAAATGGAAAAATATCGTCAGGTGAGGATTAAAAAATTTTAAAAATTCACAGTTGAGCCCCGCTGGTGTGGCTCAGTAGATTAAGCATCATCCCATGGATTCAATTCCGGGTCAGGGCACATGACTGGGTTGCAAGTTCAATCCCCTACAGAAGATGTGCAGGAGACAGCCGATCAATGTTTCTCTCTCACATTGATATTTCTATCTCTCTCTCCCTAAAAAAAAAAAAAAAATCAATAAAAACATATTTATTTTTATTATTATTTTTTTTTAAATCCTCACCGGAGGATGTTTTTCCATTTATCACAAATAGAGTGGGAGGGAGGAAGAGAGAAACACCATTGTAAGAGGGACACATCAACTGGTTGCCTCCCACATGACCCCGACCAGGGCCAGGGATGAACCACAACCAAGGAACATACCCTGGGCTGCAACTGAACCTGCAACTCTTTGGTCCGCGGACCAACACTTTAACCGCTGAGCCAAACTACCCAGGGCAATAAAAACATATTTATAAAACAAATGTAAAATCACAGTTGAGGTCTATTGCAAAGGTATAAGAAGTAGGATCTAGGCAATCCACAGTCAGGATCCTTAGGAGCCAGACTGCAAGAGCAGAAGAGAAGAAGAG